CGGTCGGCTGTACCCGGACACGATCGGCAGTACCCGCACCCGGTCGGCTGGACCCTGACACGGTCGGTATTACCCGGACACGGTCGGCTGTACCCGGACACCGTCAGCTGTACCCGGACACGGTCGGTAGTAATCGGACACGGTCGGCTGTACCCGGATACCGTCGGCTGTACCCGGACACGGTCTGCTGTACCCGGACACGATCGGCTGTACCCGGACACGGTCGGCTGTACCCGGACACGGTCGGTAGTACCCGGACACGGTCGGCTGTACCCGGACAGCAGAGAGGCTGTAGTCGGACACTTCCTGGTCTTTAATATTCTTTTTCAAAATGCATGGAAACAGACTAGAATGAAATATAAACTTTGAAACATATACTTCATTTTTAAGAAGTCTTATCATAAATAACTGGTCAGACGCTTATTTTAACGTTGTTCGCACCGACAGGTACATCGATCGAACAGATGAAGTAAACAATCAACTTGAACGATTTCTAAAAAAAAGATTATATGATGTGACTCACAGCAAGACGTAAGTCTAATTCTATATAAAAAAGTAGAATTAACACCACATATTATTTCCATCAACCCTGCGTCATGCAGACCCTCAATGCGTTTTTGAACAATATGCCTCTCTGTCGACACAATAAAACCCGTCCAGCTCAGCACCATTGCCTCTAGTAGGGCCACCATGGGTATAAAATGCAGTTATTAGTTTGTTGTCCCCAAACTTTGGTACCCGACCGACGAATGCACCAGCAATATCTGGAACTAATTTGGTGGTGGACGCTCCTCCGCATCTACACCATGTCTGTGTGTATCCGCTAATTCTAGCATCACGATCTTCACTGTGTTCCTACAGAACCTGTTCTCGGGTTAAAACAACATCTTCAAGGCCATAAATGGAAGTGGTCTCACGTACAATAATGTTATTCCTATTCACAGAAAGAAAATATACAAGTACTTAAGTTTACAATGACGAGTAGTGTTCCAACTATATCTCGGACACAGTATACATATTCTAAAATATAATCCTGTTTAGGCAGCTTATATCAATGTAAGATGCAACTTTATGATACGTTGTTTGTTTGTTGTTTAACGTCGCACTCAGCAATATTCCAGCTATATGACGACGGTCTGTAAATAATCGAGTGACATCATGAGCATCAATCCACGCAATTGGGATACGATGACATGCATCAACCAAGTCAGCGAGCCTGACCACCCGGTCCCGTTAGTCGCCTCTTGCGACAAGCATAGTCGCCTTTTACGGCAAGCATGGGTTGCTGAAGACCTATTCTAACCCGGATCTCACGGGTCCAACAACTTTATGATAGTTATCTATGCATTATAAATACAACTACATGTGTATTTATATAAATGACACATGACTAACACAATAATGTCGGACTTGTATGGCCAATTGGGATAGTTTATCCGCTTCTTCAGATATAATTGAGGGAAGACCTTTGTGATATTCCTTTGGCTCTTTTGGTTTTATACTTTTCGCTACAACTGCCGCTTTTTGATTTTCAAGGTTCTACGAGGATTACCCCCGCTTACGCTTATTGTAAAATATATCAGTATAATTAAATAAATAGAACTGCTTTTTCAGATATAAGAAAAAAACCCGAAAAAATACAAATAATTACACCTATTTACATTTAAAAAAACGAAAATCTACTTTGATATATAAATAGGTTGTATGTAGACATCTAAATAAAATTATTTGTCACCATATGTGCAAATATATAGATTTCATTTCATATTATTGAATTATTTTTGAGTGGTGGTGTTGAATGCTTAGTTATTTGATTTTTTTATAACGCTACTATAGAACATTTGGTTGCATGTAACCAGTGATGATGTAGTGAGTGAGTGAGTATGGTTTTACGCCGCTTTTATGTAACCAGTGATAATGTAGGTTAGCTAGGCAGTGAAGTAGGAAAGCTGATACTGGACGGTTTGTTTTGAGAGTTACCACCACCAGACGTATTTTTAAATGTAGTTTGCAGAAAGAGGATTATGCATGCGTGTTAATTTTGTGTATTGGCAGTTTACCTTTTTAGCTACAAACACATGTTTGCTGAGTGGCCGATTACTGCCGATGTCCAGATACTACCGAACTCTCTACATAGAGATATAGATTGTGCAAAACATTCATGGGCTAAGGCGACAAGACCAAGTGTCCAAAGTCCAAGTGTGGAATGAACTGTGTTTACTCCATGCGTAAACCACGTCAACGATAACAACTCGGATTCGTTAAACGACTTTTTATTAAACATATCTTGGGAAATTTTAAAAGGATTTTAACCAGTATGACTTGCTAAAGAGAGAGCTGTGAACGCCAGCACTCGATATCATTATCACAACGAAAGTAGGGCATATGTATCTAACTTCCGGGTTGGCAACGAAGAACAAATACAGAACACAATCAGGTTAATTACAGTGTAATTACAACAGTACGTAAAGTTTTCACAAAAAAGCATTTCATGACTATATATATACATTTCCATGAACACTCGGATATTGTGTTGTAATCTGAACAATGAATAGCGCGATGGAATGACACAGTTCATAACGAAAGTACAAACACGCGAAATGATTGAAACTTTGAAATCACAAAACAGGGAATTCCTGATAGAAAGCAGCACGTGTACCCTACGAGACTGTTAAGAAGGTACTCACTGACCCAAGAAATACAGAAATCAATACACGGCCTTCGGGGGTATGACATACTCATCTCCGAGTTTCCCAGCAAACACACACCTACCTTGCAGTTGGCCTCAGACCACAGTTACGCCCCCACCCGTTTTACCCGGAAGGAAAATAGGAGAATATAGTGCCCAATGTAAATTGGCTGTTCAACCTGTACCAAGGTTTTAGAGTGACTTCTAATAGCCTAAATGAAAGATTAGTCATTGTATTATGTTGCATTTTTTATCCACAATCTGTACATGGTGTTGACACCAGCTTCCCATGATTTGATCCCAAGTTCAAGGCCGGTGTGTGTTTCGGCTGATAACTACCTGTGACCATTGTTGATAGTGGTTACTGCGAAATCTATATGATATGATATATACGTCAATGATGTCAATCACTGGATTGTCTGGTTCAGACCCGATTATATACAGACCGCCGTCATATAGCTGAGTGCGGCGTTAAACAACAAACCAACTACTGTAACTACAGGTAGCACCCGCAAATCACACAATTTTCTTAAAATGTAAGTGCTTGTTTGTTGCCGGACTCCACATAGCCGTCTTCCTGAAAAAACACGGGATTCATCCGATGGCACACAACTCCCTGCATTTGGTATCGCCACGGAAATCGTCATGGTAGAATGGTGATGAATTGTGTTTTGCACTCTGTGCGGCGTTATTTGAATGACTTTCTTAACTTTTGTGATATAATATTGTTCATTTTAAAATCAATTTAAAGAATTATATCATTTTAAATTACCTATATGAGTGTTCAAAAATATTTCTCATACCACGCAGTGAGTGAATGTTGTTCTGCGCTAGTCTGCTATAGTCCAGCTGTATCACGTGCTCGATCCATCAATCGAGTCTGGACCAGTGATCGACAGCATGAGTATCAAGGTGTGACGTGAGGCCTTGATCACACGTCACGGTGCCTGGCTACCTAATCTCCTTTTGAGCCGGCTCTTGAGATAAGCATTACAGGAACCTGGGATCGGGATTCAGGATACGCAATTATGATGGTAAGGATGTCTTGAGTAAGTGATTCAGGTCACTTTGGAAACCAACGAGCTTGCGTATGGTGCTGACAAACCAAGAAATATTATCAGGGCAGAACTGAGATTCCAACCCACAAATGAAGGATTCTGGCAGGCCTTGATGCAAATGTATGCAGAACAAAATCGGGCGCCTTAGACAACTGTGACCCCTAGTCCTGAATGAGTGAATAAATGAGATTTCGTTTAACGCCGCTTTGAACAATATTTCAGTAATATCAGGGCGTGTCAGTTTAATGTCGGAGTGAAGCTCTGTTGAAGTCATGCAGGTCTTAGACGTTTACCACTTTGATGTTTTTCAAAGAAAGAAAATGATAGCTGTACATGCTGGATGTCCTGAAATAAATGCCTCGCCTTTGCATGTGTATGTGACGAGGGCCACCGGTGGGGCAGGATACGCTCCCATTTCCGGAACACCTGGTATCATCACTTTCTGATAGTGACTCAGACACATGCTTATAGTGTAGTCGGCACAGTGGACTCTGCATGTTTTGTAGAGTGGTCTTTTGATTATGGATATGGTTTTGTAGCTTTAAATCAGTTTTGAAACAAATTGCAGGTCTTCAAACTGTGACCGAACTTTATCCAGCAAAACATCCAGTATCACTCAAAGGGAGCGGAGAATGAGTGAGTGAGTGAGTATGGTTTCTACGCCGCTTTTAGCAATATTCCAGCAATATCACGGCGCAGGACACCAGAAATGGGCTTCACACATTGTACCCATGTCGGGAATCGAACCCGGGTCTTCGGCGTGACGAGCAAACGCTTTAACCACTAGGCTACCCGACCGCCCCTAGCAGAGAATGAATGGGTTGTATGGTCTAGTACCACTCAAAGGGAGGGAGAATGAAACTGGAGTGCGCAATATTCTGTTGACCGGGGTAATAATGTAGCGCTTTAAGCACGCTTTAGGGTGTGGAGTTGACGTCTTATTATGATGTACAATATTAAAATATTCAATGATATTACATGGTCGTTTCATGGCCTGATTCTTCTATATATCCCGTACCTCATTCAGAAGTAAAAGGCAATTATACTTGTGGTAAAAGGCGACTAACGGGATCGGGTGGTCAGGCTCGCTCACTTGGTTGATACATGTCATCGATCCCGATTGCACGGATCGATGCTCATGATGTCAATCACTGGATTGGCTAGTCCAGACTTGATTATTTACAGACCGCCGTCATATCGCTGGAATATTGCTGAGTGCGGCGTAAAACAACAGGCCAACATCATTCAGAAATATCAGCTCCGTCAAGTCTTGAGGGCATTTGATTTCTAAGTTTATTACATTAAATTACTAAAAGCAATAGTATTATTTAAGAAATAAACACGTGTTTTCATATACATTCAAGTCTCGTTAATCGGACAATCGGCTTTTTTTGACACTAATGCAAGGAACCCATTAGATCAGGGCTATTTAGACCCGTTAATGTAGATCGGTGTTACGTGTATTATTTATATTTAATATTTGAATCCCAAATCACTAGTCTGTTGTGTCAATCGTTACATTTGTCGTTAGTTTATAGGGAAATAATAACAGAGAAACAAACATGGGTTAAATCACAAGAATAGAGCTGTACCAATGATAAAGGTGACGCAGCGCATATACTACTAATCAACAGCGTACAGAAGGGCTTCTCTGCAGCGCGTCACATTTGGTTCAGCCTTGTTATTGACTGATCATAGTAATACATGACATGGAACGATGAAATGGCTTTACGCATTCCGACCATTTGGTGAATCGAACCCAGGTCTTATAATCACCTTATCAGTTTAGTTCGTTGTGACGTCATCGGCTATTAACAAAAACGGAATAAACAATAGTCAAATTAAATTCAAAACGCCAGAGAACCTGTGTCCTCAACCTGCCGCCTGAGGCGTGTACGAGAGTAGTACGCGGATATAGAAACATTGTGTTATGTCTTTGCTTATAGGAGAAAACATATCCACACGTTTTTGAAGAACATGTTTCTAGAGAATGTTAAGTACTGTTACTTATTCATGTATAAAACTGTATGCCTCCATAGATATATATTCACACATACACACACACACATATATATATATATATATATACACACGTTCACACACACATATACACACACACACACACATATATATATATATATATACATACATACACACACACACACGCACGCACGCACGCACGCACGCACGCGCGCGCGCGCACACACACACACCATCCTTGCTGACTTGTAGTTGGAGCAGCTCATCAGTGTTCTCGAAGCACGTTGACAGAGGTTCTTGAATCCTTACATCCCATGTTCAGTTGCTCCAATAGAACCTCTGTATTGCACCCTTGTTAAGACAAACATACACCCGCCCTCTCACATCAACATATATTCCATGTGGGCTCTGAATACCATCTTTGGATGTCAGTAGATGTTTTACAAACTGTCCTGACTCCGTCAGATGGATGACTCTGTTTAGAGAGTAGTCTGTCACCAGGATGCCACCTGTGCTGGTACTTGTGATACCATAGGGAGACTTCAGTGCTTTGTCTCCTGTCGGGCTGTAGGTGAACACCACATCTCCCTCGGGGGTCAGACACACGACACACTTGGTTCCACCGTCAGACACCAGGATGTTTCCTGTCCTCGTGGTACAGAGAAAGTTGGGATATTGTAAGATGTTGTTACCTTTGTGGAGTGGACTGATTGACCTCAGCACGTTTCCTGTCATATCCAGGATATCAACACAGGGAGGAAACCGGGAACTAGCTGCTAGTGTTGATGGTGTCAGGGACGTAATGCCAAAGTACTCTTTGCTGGTTGTGATGGTTGACAGCAACATCAGGTCAGGGTTGACTTCTACTGTTACAATCTGATTGATGTTCCAGACAGTAACGGCCACCTGGTTGTGTGTCAACTTCGTAATACCCCAGGGAAATCCACGAAGCAGGAGCTTACTGTGACCTTGTTGATTGTTCCTGGTGTAGAAGGACTCCACACTGCGGTTAAAATGATCTGTGACTACAACCGTGTCAATACCATTAACAACCATCTCTGTCACATCACGTGGCGTTACGTCAGATTTGTCGCCTGCTACTTTGACGTTAATGGTGTCCTGTAACACAGGAGTAGCCTTCAGATCCAGCACGCTAATGGTGTCCTGTAACACAGGAGTAGCCGTCAGGTCCAGCTCACTCTCATACAGGACGTCTATCTCACCCAGCTGTAGATCGTCCAGAGATTTACTCAGCTTGTCCGTGTCCTGTCTGAATGTGACCCTGGCTATTCTTCCTCTTTTCTTCAGTTCTGCGTCTGCATCACCCGCCTCACAACCCTGATACATCTCATACACATCCATGTCACACTCCGATTGTAGGGTCTGGTCTATCAGCTCAGCCTGTTGTTGGTACATCTGTACTGACATATCACCTGACTTAATGTCTGCTTTCAGTTGTCCAAGGTGTTCGTCTGACATCTTTTTCAGTTGATCAAGAAGATCCTTTTCCCGGAGTTTAATCCGTTCTATCGCTTTAACCGTTGCAGAGTTAATATCTGATTCCATTTGTTTAAATCGACAAGTTTCGTCCTCCAGCTTTGACTTCTTTGTCTCAATCTCTTTGCTGATTTCGTCTTTTCTCCGTGACAAATTGCCCGTCGCCCGCGTCAGTACTGCTTTCATTGCCCGTATCTCCACTCCCAAGCTGACAACAGACTCACATTTCCTGTGGTAGATTGTACAACAGGTTTGACAAACTGCTTTCTTGCAATCTTTACACAACAACTTGATGCTTTCATCCGTGTGTTCTTTACACATGACCGTTCGTCTTCGTTTGACCTTGACCTCCCGAGAAAGGACAGTGACGTCATGATGACGAGAAGATGGGATGCGATTGTGAACTCTGATGCATCTTCCACACAGTGCATCATCACACACATAGCACCAAACAGAGGCAGGAGTTGTCTCCCCTTCTTGAATACAATAGCTGCAGTTGGTTGTATCTGAAAGATGAGGTTATACGTTATTAGTGTTTAACATACAATACACTGATGTACCAATGACTGATTGTACAAAGTAACTAGATATAGATAATATCTTAGCTGCTAACAACTCATATTTCTTGGGTGCTATTTAGTCAATATGTTTGGTTGTGTTGTCAAATAAAGCGCCTACAGAAACTCTATGACATATGTGAAATAGTATCATACGATCATATGATACGCAAGTATTTTACACGTGTCTACCTTTAGATCCTGGACCAAATGAGTCCAAGAGTCCCTGGATGACAAAGCTTGGTTTGACGTCATCTGCCCACTCCTCCACTGGTCTCTCAGGGGCGGACACTTTCGTCATCTTGTTGCAGAATGGACAGAGGAGGGACTTGGCCCTGATGGCTTCTGGTCTGGTCTTGGTGTAGTTGACGATACATTTCCGACAGAAGGTGTGGTTACACACAAGTGTACAGGGATTAGTGAAGACATCAGAGCATATGACACAGGTTAAGTAATGTTCAGTGAGTTTCTGAGAGGTCGCCATCTGAAAGAGGACAAGAAGCATTGAATTCCTCATCACTACACCCCGTGCATAACACATGGCTATCTAAAAAAAAACTATGGACATTTCAATCCTGAAAATACCGACCAGTTCATTGACCGAGTCAATCGGTTAATTATGAAAACAATCGTAAATGAAAAAACTTCGATGTTTTGACATGTAGGAAATAGGTTTCCTATGGAGAAAATGAGAATCATGATTACCCAATCTAAAGTCGACTAGGTATGATGATATCCACAATTCAAACTTGATTGTTAAAGGGAAAACGGGTGGCTGGTCGTGTTAGGCGCTGCAATTCGCCGTGCAGAATTGCATCCATTAGGCTTTGCAGTACCTACGATCGTAGGAATCCCAGAATGTCCCTAATTTTGTTCCTCGGTATTCCCGCAACACACCCGTGATCGTGGATCTAGTCAAAGTGGCACACGTCTAAAACATACAGGCTTTTCTCCCATATCAAACTGATATTTCGTGAAACAAATGAAATATAGTTCAAAGGGGCGTTAATCCCAACTCACTCACTTACTGATTGCTCAGATCACAATATATTACTTATACTGTTTCTTAGCCTTGTTTGGCTCAAATAAACATTTGTATGATTATCCTTTTGTGTCCAGATAAATAAATAACCCTAATAACCATACGCACTGTCAGTATAACTGTTCGAGTTAATTGGCTAAAGTGAACACAGGAAAGGAATATATACCACCATGACATTAAATAATCCTGCATTGTGATTGGTTTCCTAGCGGTATCCAAAATAAGTAAGAAAATATTAATTGAAAGCACTCCTTTTCAAACACGCTTGTGTTTTTTTTTAACGCCAGCGATAGCAATATATGACTATATCCCATCCACCTACAATCCCAGATTTGTCCTGATACCGTAACCATGCTCGTGAGTTTCACTTCTTTGCTTTTGAAAAATATAAATACAGATAAATAAATAACTCTACTAACATAAACTGTTTGATTTATTTGACTAAAGTGAACACACAAAACGTATATAATGCCTCCTGCCATGACATTGTATTATTGTATTATCTGCATGCTTATTGGTTCCCCATCAGTATCGAAAATAGCAAAAAAATAGCAGAAACATGCTTTTGTTATTTCTTTTTCAACGTCAGTCAGCAAAATATTCGAACTGTATCCAGGAGACCCGTATGAGCAATGCCCTACGTCGTCTGGACACGATGACATGCAGTCAACCCAGACACTTAGTCTGACCACCCAATCCACTTTGTCACCTTACTGCATCCCGGAATCACCATTGGGTTCCGGGCACATAACAATCATTGCTCACTAACTTATTGTCAGAACTTATTGGGAAATCGCTGATACCAAGGGAGATACCACTTGCTGGTGGTTTCAGAATTGACCAACAGGCAAAGAACGTCTTGTTCAGGCTGAACCTGGATACCACTATCTTGACGGTAGCTTCGGTAGTACCCGGACCCGGTCGGCAGTACCCGGACCCGGTCGACTGTACCCGGACACGGTCGGCTGTACCCGTACCCGGTCGGTAGTACCCGAACACGGTCGGCTGTACCCGGATCCGGTCGGCTGTACCCGGACACGGTCGGTAGTACCCGGACACGGTCGGTAGTACCTGGACACGGTCGGCTGTACCCGGATCCGGTCGGCTGTACCCGGACACGGTCGGCTGTACCCGGACAGGGTCGGCAGTACCCGTACACGGTCGGCTGTACCCGGACACGGTCGACTGTACCCTGACACGGTCGGTTGTACCCAGATACGGTCAGCTGTACCCGGAAACGGTCGGTAGTACTCGGACACGGTCAGCTGTACCCGGACACGGTCGGTAGTACCCGGACACGGTCAGCTGTACCCGGAAACGGTCGGTAGTACTCGGACACGGTCGGCTGTACCCGGACACGGTCGGTAGTACCCGGACACGGTCTGCTGTACCCGGACCCGATCGGCTGTACCCGGACACGGTCGGTAGTAGCCGGAGACGGTCGGCTGTACCCGGACACGGTTGGTAGTACCCGGACACGGTCGGCTGTACTCGGACACGATCGGCTGTTCCCGGACAGCAGAAAGGCAGTAGTCGGACACCACAGTCTTTTAATATTCTTTTTCAGGTACATCGATCTAACAGATAATGTACACAATAAATGTGAACGATTTCTAAAATAGATTGTCTGATGTCACTCACAGCAAGCCGTTTTTATATTAAAAACGTAGAACTAACATCACAGATTATCGCCATCAACTCTGCGCCCTGCATAATCTCAATACGTTCTTGGAAAAAACAATAAAGGACCACCGTCTCCGGTTGGGTATAAAATGCAGTTATTAGTTTGTTGTCCCTAAACACTGGTAAAAAAACTTGGCCAACTGCTTTGGTACCCGACCGACGAATGCGCCAGCAATATCTGGAACTAATTTGGTGGTGGACGCTCCTCCGCGTCTACACCATGTCTGTGTGTATCCGCTAATTCTAGCATCACGATCTTCACTGTGTTCCTACAGAACCTGTTCTCGGGTTAAAAAATCTACAAGGCAATAAATGGAAGCGGTCTCACGTACAAAATATGATACCGATTGAAAGAAGAAAAGATACAAGTACTTAAGTTTACAATAACGAGTAGTGTTCCAGCTATATCGCGGACACAGTATACATATGCTACAATATAATCCTGTTTAGGCAGCTAATATCAATGTAAAATGTAACTTTATGATAGTAATCTATGCGTTATGGATACTAGTACATATATATTTATGTAAATGACACATGACTAACACTATAATGTCGGACTTGTATGACCAATTGACATAGTTTATCCTCTTCAGATATAATTGAAACCCGTGAAGATCCGGGGTAGAATAAGTCTTCAGAAACCCATGCTTGTCGTAAAAGGCAACTAACAGGATCAGGTGGTCAGGCTCGCTGACTTGGTTTGATACATGTCATCGTATCCCAATTGCGTGGATCGATGCTCGTGATATCAATCACTGGATTGTCTGGTCGAGACTCGATTATTTACAGACCGCCGTGATATAGCTGTAATATTGCTGAGTGAGCGTTAAACAACAAACAGACAAAAACACATAATTGAGGGAAGGCCTTTATGATATTCCTTTGGCACTTTTGGTTTATACTTTTCGCTACAACTACCGCTTTTTGATTATTATTGTAAAATATATCAAATATATTTAAATAAATAGAACTCCTTTTACAGATATGAAAAAAATCCGAAAAAATGAATACAAATAATTACACCTATTTACATTTAAAAAAAGAAAGAAAATCTACTCTGATATATGAATAGGTTGTATATAGACAAATAAATATAATTATTTGTCACCATATGTGCAAATATATAGATTTCATTTCATGTTATTTAATTTTTTTTTGAGGGGTGGTGTGGAAGGCTTCGTTATTAAAAGAAATATAACGTTACTATAGAACTTTTGGTTGTATTTAATCAGTGATAATGTAGGATGGCGTGGCAGTAGGAAAGCTGATACTGAACCGTTTGTTTTGACAGTTTCCTCCAGCACACGTATTTTTAAATGGAGTTTGCAGAAAGAGGATTATGCATGCGTGTTAATTTTGTGTATTGGCAGTTTACCTTTTCAGCTACAAACAAATGTTTGATGAGTGTCTGATTACTGCCGATGTCCAGATACTACCGAACTCTCTACATGGAGATATAGATTGTGCAGAACATTCATCGGCTGAGGCGACAAGACCAAGTGTCCAAAGTCTAAGTGTGGTATGAACTGTGTTGACTCGATGCATACACCACGTCAACGATAACAGCTCGGATTCGTTAAAAGACTTTTCAATCAAACATATCTTGCTAAAGGGAGAACTGAGAACGCCAGAACACGATATCATTATCATAACGAAAGTAGGGTATAAATATCTAACTTCCGGGTTGGCAACCAGGAACAAATACAGAACACAATCAGGTTAATTACAGTCTTATTACAAGAGTGTGTTAAGTTTTCATTAACAAGCATTTCATGCACATATATATACATTTCCATGAACACTCGGATGTCGAGTTTTAATCTGAACAGTGAATAGCGCGCTAGAATGACCCAGTTCATAACGAAAGTGCAAACACGCGAAATGATTGAAACTTTGAAATCACAAAACAGGGAATTCCTGATAGAAGGCAGCACGTGTACCCTACGAGACTGTTAAGAAGGTACTTCCTGACCCAAGAAATACAGAAATGAATACACGTCCTTCGGGGGTATGATATACTCATCTCCGAGTTTCCCAGCAAACACACACCTACCTTGCAGTTGGCCTCAGACCACAGTTACGCCCCCACCCGTTTTACCCGGAAGGAAAATAGGCGAATATAGTGCCCAATGTCCGGGTTGGCAACCAAGAACAAATACAGAACACAATCAGGTTAATTACAATCTTATTACAGCAGCGTGTAAAGTTTTCATTAACAAGCACTTCATGACAATATATATACATTTCCATGAACACTCGGATGTCGAGTTTTATTCTGAACAGTGAATAGCGCACTAGAATGACCCAGTTTAATAACGAAAGTGAGCACACGAAATAATTGAAACTTTGAAATCACAAACCAGGGAATTCCTGATAGAAAGCAGCACGTGTACCCTACGGGACTGTTTGTCAGGAACTCCCTTACCCAAGAAATTCAGAAATCAATACACGGCCTTCGGGGCATGAAATATTCATCTCCGAGTTTCCCAGCAAACATACACCTACCTTGCAGTTCGGTCGTCCACGGCGGTGTAGAGGGAAACTGTAACCTCGGTGTAAAATATCCTCCTAGATTTAGATCAGCTGGTTTCCTCCTGCTTACATTATATTTTAGCTGCCACCTATCAGCATAGTTTTGAACGACACCAAGAAGGTTTTGCAGGCCTTTATAAGAGATAGTCAACAAAGTATTGTCGTCAGTATTCATTATGGTGGGCCGTCACGTCGCTGTAGATAGCAAATCATTGTGGTCTGAGGCCAGTTCGGTCGTCCACGGCGGTGTAGAGGGAAACTGTACCTCTGGTGTAAAATGTTCTCCTAAATTTAGATCTTCTGGCTACGTTTCTACAAAGTGATATTATTTCTATTGCTGTGGTGAGTCCATGCAAAGATGTACGACGACATCTGTTGCAGTTATAAAATGCGATGTATTAACGGGAGACGTCGAGAGGCCGTGTAAATAAAGCAGAGCAGTACACAACATTTCTTTTTAATTGATACGTTTAATGCAGACGTTGTGCTGTTGACATATGCAGAAAGGGAATTTCAAAGAGAGGAAGCTAGGTCACATGTTGCTTTCGATCTTCCAGCCTTTTAGTATGACTCGATGACTTCCTATAAATACTGTTTTTTAGCTAAATGACTTTCTTAACTTTTGAGATATATTATTGTTCATTTTAAAATCAATTTAAAGAATTATACCATTGTAAATTACCTATATGAGTGTTCAAAACTATTTCTGATATCACGCAGTGAGTGAATGTTGCTCTGCGCTACAGTCTGCTATAGTCCAGCTGTATCACGTGATCGATCCATCAATCGAGTCTGGGCCAGTGATCGACAGCATGAGTATCAAGGTGTGACGCGAGACCTTGATCACACGCCACGGAGCCTGGCCACCTGATCTCCTCTTGAGCCGGCTCTTGAGATAAGCGTTACAGGAGCCTGGGATCGGGATTCAGGATACGCAATTATGATGGTAAGGATGACTTGTGTAAGTGATTCAGGTGACTTTGGAAACCAACGAGCTTGCGTATGGTGCTGACAAACCAAGAAGTATTATCAGGGCAGATCTGAGATTCCAACCCACAAACGAAGGATTCTTGCAGGCCTTGATGCAACTGTATGCAGAACAAAATCGGGCGCCTTAGACAACTGTGACCCCTAGTCCTGAATGAGTGAATTCATGAGATTTCGTTTAACGCCGCAGTGAACAATATTTCAGTAATATCAGGGCGTGTCAGTTTAATGTCGGAATGAAGCTCTATTGAAGTCATGCAGGTCTGAGACCTTTACCACTTTGAGGTTTTTCAAAGAAAGAAATGCTGGATGTCCTGAATTAAATGCCTTGCCTTTGCATGTGTATGTGACGGGGGCCACCGGTCGGGCAGGATACGCTCCCATTTCTGGAACACCTGGTATCATCACTTTCTGATGGTGAGTCAGACAGAAGCTTATAGTTTAGTCGGCACAGTGGACTCTGCATGTTTTGTGGAGTGTTCTTTAGATTATGGATATGGTTTTGTAGCTTTAAGTCAGTTTTGAAATAAAAATATCGTCGGTTCCTGCCAAAGAAAGAAATTGCACGTCTTCAAACAGTGACCGAACCTTTATCCAGCACAGGATCCAGCACCACTCAAACAGAACACCAAGGTACATGGCAGCTTGGGTTGTATGGTCCAGCACCATTCAAACAGAACAACAAGGAATATGGCAGCTTGGGTTGTATGGTCCAGCAACACTCAAACAGAACACCAAGGTATATGGCAGCTTGGGTTGTATGGTCCAGCACCACTGAGAACACCAAGGTATATGGCAGCTTGGGTTGTATGGTCCAGCACCACTCAAACAGAACACCAAGGTATATGGCAGCTTGGGTTGTATGGTCCAGCACCACTCAAACAGAACACCAAGGTACATGGCAGCTTGGGTGGTATGGTCCAGCATCACTCAAACAGAACACCAAGGTACATAGCAGCTTGAATTGTATGGTCAAGCAACACTCAAACAGAACACCAAGGTATATGGCAGCTTGGGTTGTATGGTCAAGCACCATTCAAACAGAACACCAAGGTATATGGCAGCTTGGGTTGTATGGTCCCTAGGGAGGGAGAATGAAATTGGAGTGCGCACTATTCCAATGACCGGGGTATTAACGTAGCGCTTTAAGCACGCTTTAGGGTGTGGAGTTGACGCCTTATTATGAGGTACAATATTAAAATGTTCAATGATATTACAGGTTCGTTTCATGGCCTGATTCTTCTATGTATCACGTATCTCATTCAGAAGTAAAAGGCGATTATACTTCTCCTAAAAGGCGACCAATGGGATCGGGTGGTCAGGCTCGCTAACTTAGTTGATACATGTCAACGATCCCAATTGCACTGATCGATGCTCATGATGTCAATCACTGGATTGTCTAGTCCAGACTCGAATTTTTACAGACCGCCGTCATATAGTTGGAATATTGCTGAGTGCGGCGTAAAACAACAGACCAACATCATTCAGAAATATCAGCTCCGTCAAGTCTTGAGGGCATTTGATTTCTAAGTTTATTACATTAGATTACTAAAAGCAATGGTATTATTTAAGAAATAAACCCGTGTTTTCATATACAGTCAAGTCTCGTTAATCCGACAATCGGTTTTATTTGACACTGATGATAGGAACCGATTACATAAGTGCTATTTAAACCCCTTAATGTAGATCGGTGTTACGTGTATTATTAAATATTTGAATCCCAACGCACTAGTGTGTTGTGTCAAACGTTACATTTCTCGTTAGTATATAGGGAAATAATAACAGAGAAACAAACATGGGTTAATTCACAAGAATAGAGCTGCACCAATGATAAAGGTGACGCAGCGCATATACTACTAATCAACAGCTTACAGAAGGGCTTCTCTGCAGCGCCAGTCACATTTGGTTCAGCCTTGTTATTGACTGATAGGTATCACGTGGGAGACCTTGCGAACACACAAAGCAGTGACGTCACGGTTAGTAGCGCATTAATGAATGAAGACGGGTCGTTTTGAGTGTTAAATTAGAACCTACTTCTTTAAAAAGAAACATATCTTTCTAGGAACAAGCAAAATGTACAGTGTCATTTAAAATATGATTATGGAGCGATTATTTTCGAGTGAGCAAATATTTTCACTGCTGCTAGTCCTATCATAGTAATACATGACATGGAACGATGAAATGGCTTTACACATTCAGACCATTTGGTAAATCGAACCCAGGTCTTATAATCACCCTATCAGTTTAGTTCGTTGTGACGTCATCGGCTATTAACAAAAACGGAATAAACAATAGTCAAATTAAATTCAAAACGCCAGAGAAGCTGTGTCTTCAACCTGCCGGCTGAGACGTGTACGAGAGTAGTACGCGGATATAGAAACATTGTGACATGTGTTTGCTTATAGGAGAAAACATATCCACACGTTTTTGAAGTACATGTATTTAAAGAATGTTAAGCACTGTTACTTATTCATTTATGAAACTGTATGCCTCCATAGATAAGTGTGAAGAGTTATTTACGCACAGAGGAATCTGTTTCGGCAGATACTTGAGGCTGATTATTCTCAGGCGATCACGTTTTATATTTACAAGTCCACCTATCGCGCGCGCGCACACACACATACAAATGTATATATAAATATATATATATATATATTTATACACACACACACGTGCACACACATACACACATGTATACACACAAACACACACATATATATATATATATATATATATATATATATATATATATATATATATATATATATACAAACACACGCACACACACACATATATATATACACACATACACACACATATATAAAAATAAATATACATACATACATACATACATACATACATACATACATACATACATACATACATACATGCATGGATGCATGCATTCATGCACGCACGCACGCACGCACGCACGCACGCACGCACGCATGCATGCACGCACGCACGCACGCACGCGCGCGCGCGCACACACACACACACACCATCCTTGCTGACTTGTAGGTGCAGCAGCTCATCAGTGTTCTCAAAGCACGTTGACAGAGGTTCCATGATCCTTACATCAGATGTTCAGTTCCTGCACAAGAAGGTCTGTATGACACCCTTGTTAAGACAAACATACACCCGCCCTCTCACATCAACATATATTCCTCGTGGTTTCTGAATACCGTCTTGGGATGTCAGTAGATGTTTTACAAACTGTCCTGATTCCGTCAGATGGATGACTCTGTGTAGAGAGAAGTCTGTCACCAGGATGTCACCTGTGCTGGTACTTGTGATACCCTGGGGAGACTTCAGTGTTGTGTCTCCTGTCGGGCTGTAGGTGAACACCACATCTCCCTCGGGGGTCAGACACACGACACACTTGGTTCCCAAGTCAGACACCAGGATGTTTCCTGTCCTCGTGGTACAGAGGTAGTAGGGATATCGTAAGATGTTGTTACTGTTGTGGAGTGGACTGATTGACCTCAGCATGTTTCCCGTCATATCCAGGATATCAACACAGGGAGGAGACCGGGAACTAGCTGCTAGTGTTGATGGTGTCAGGGACGTTATGCCCCAGTACTGTTTGCTGGTTGTGATAGTTGACAGCAGCACCAGGTCAGGGTTGGCTTCTACTGTTACAATCTGATTGATGTTCAGGGCAGTGACGGCCACCTGGTTTTGTGTCAACTTCGTAATACCCCAGGGAGTTCCACGAAGCAGGAGCTTACTGTGACCTTGTTGATTGTTCCTGGTGTAGAAGGACTTTACACTGCTGTTAAATGGATCTGTGACTACAACCGTGTCAATACCATTAACAACCATCTCTGTCACATCACGTGGCATTACGTCAGATTCGTCGCCTGCTACTTTGACGTTTATGGTGTCCTGTAAGACAGGAGTAGCCGTCAGGTCCAGCTCACTCTCATACAGGACGTCTATCTCACCCAGCTGTAGATCGTCCAGAGATTTACTCAGCTTGTCCGTGTCCTGTCTGAATGTGACCCTGGCTATTCTTCCTCTCTTCTTCAGATCTGGGTCTGCATCACCCGCCTCACATCCCTGATACATCTCATACACATCCATGTTACACTCCGATTGTAGGGTCTGGTCTATCAGCTTAGCCTGTTGTTGGTACATCTGTACTGACATCTCACCTGACTTAATGTCTGCTTTCAGTTGTCCGATGTGTTTGTCTGACATCTCTTTCAGTTGACAAAGAAGATCCTTTTCCCGGAGTTTAATCCGTTCTATAACTTTGACCGTTGCAGAGTTAATATCTGATTCCATTTGTTTAAATCGACAAGTTTCGTCCTCCAGCTTTGACTTCTTTGCCTCAATCTCTTTGCTGATTTCGTCTCT